CCGGTGATTTTATCAAAAGGTTGCTGTGAGATATATGCACCACAAGAAGACGTTCGTACCTACTTCGAAATCTTGGAGCTAAAAAATATAAATATGCCAGTAACTTACTGCAATCAATTCTATCATGAATAATATTATATAAAAATGTTACTGCCACAATTGTTCGTCTTCACTCTAAAGAAAACATATTAAATCTGTTTAATAAAATAGTGTTATCAATTCCCCTTTGGGGGCACAAACCATCCTCTTTAAAAGCTAAGTATTTTAGAAAACCTCTTTGAACTGATTCAATAATATCAATGCAACAGTTATATAATGGATACCAAACAAGAATACAATATTCTAGCTTAGACCTAACTAGAGAATAAAAATGAATTTTTAAAGTATAGGTATTTTTAAATGATCTGGTATTTCTCATTGTAAATCCAAGTGCCTTTGATGCAGAAAGCACAATATTATTAATGTGCTGTCTGAAGCTAAGACCACTGTCGAAGTAGACTCCCAAATCTTCCACAATATTTGTAATAGTAGATTCAAGGTGATAATTATACAGAATACGTGATCTTCTCCTAGTGTAGGATACTACATTACATATTGAAACGTTGATATGAATGTGATATATTTTACACCACTGTAAAATGAAATCAATTATTGATTGCAAATTATAATAGTCATGAATACTATTACTACAATCATACTCGACAAATTGTTTTCTGCCAGATAAATATGACTAAAAAATTTTTAGCAAATATTGCGCAAAAACCCAGGCGATCAAATTTAAAAAGTAAAACGTAATGGTCCATCTGATCAAATGCCTTTTGGAAGTCGAAGTAAATAACATCCACTTGTTCATGTTTATCGAGAGATTCACATAAATATTGAGCTAAGCAAGCTAAATTTGTCATACCATACAAGATCTTTACATTTTAAATGTTGGGTAAATGTGATTGTACATTATGTCAAAGAGTTTTGAAAAATTACACAATAATGATATAGCCCTAATAGTAATAGTAGTAATAGCAATATAGTAATGAACATATGAATAATATTTTTATTTGAATAACATATTTACAAAATTGATAAAAATACTGATGGCAATTATTCAGCTTATGCAATCAGGTATACTAGTCTACTATTAAACTGGTCATATACCGTACGCGCCTAAAGTATGGAATAAATCCGGTAAAAACGAAACAATTTTTTTTTTGGGAAAAATCCTGGTCGATTTTTAATTTAAAAAATACATATTTTAGCATAAAAGGCGATTTTCAACCGTCATTTGTTTTCGAATAATGACGTTATCGACATTTTTTTTTAAATAGCAACCCCCTATTTTTTTCTTGATTCTGAAAGATCGTTTCGTTGTCGATACGACAGTACTAAAATGTTGCCATCTCACATAGGAAAGTTTTCGAGTAAATGACGATTAAATGTTAGAAAACGTAAATTTTATTCATTAAAACAATAACAATTCCTATGTCAAGCAAATTCAATTCATTAAGTTTTCTACCTAAATTAAGTGTTCGAATTGCCACCCACCGACTTCTTGACAATATGCAAGTCTGTGTAGAAATTCTTCTTGCACATTATGAATTATTTCTGGGGTAACTCTGTGTTTTTCATCTATAATACAATTTTGGAGTTCTTCTAAATTATGTGGTCTATTAACGTACACTTTGGACTATAGGTAGCCCCATAAGAAATAGTCCAGAAGTGTAAGATCTGGAGATCTCGTGGGCCATTTTATCGGTCCTCGTCTGCCGATCCACCTCCTAGGAAAACAACAGAAATTCTCAAACAGGGCGCGCATAGTGCGGAGGTGTACCGTCTTGCTGAAACCATATGGTGTCATCAGGAATATCAGGGTCATTATCGTTAGGAAAAATTACTGCAAGCTCTGGAACAAGATCATTTTGTAAAAACTCTAAATATCTTTCTCCTGTAAGGGTTCCTTCAAAGAAGAAATGCCCTACTATTCTGTTGTCGACTATTCCAGCCCGCACATTCAATTTCTGTGGGTGTTGGATATGTGCCTCTGTCATCCAATGAGGATTTTTCCGGCTCCAATACCTGCAAGTTTGACTGTTCACTGTACCATTGAGACAAAAAGTGGCCTCGTCTGAAAAAAGTATTTGCCGGTGTACATCTCTATTTACTTGACATAAATCCATCATATAATTTCACAAAAGTGTAAGCGGCGGTCGGAATCGTCTTCATTGAGTTCATGCACAAGTTGAATTTTGTTGGGATGATATTTTTCCTCCCTCAGGATACGTAGCACTGTGGTCTGACTAATTTCATTGTTTAATGCAACCAATCGTGAAGTATTATGAGAATTATCTACCATACTTATCAAAATGTTCTGTTTGTGATCTTCACTAACGCTTGGACGTTCAGGTTTTGGAATATCTACAACATTGCCAATTTCTCTAAATTTAGATTCTATCTTACTGACTGTTGATTGGCTGATACGGCGATCTGGATGTTTTTCATTAAATAAATCGCATACTTCCTGCTGCGTTCTACTCTTATCCCCGTATCCGATAAGTATTAAAATTTCAATTCTTTGTGCGACAGTTAAATGTGCCATAATACTTTAAATTCAACAATAATTTTATATCGCTTACAATACTTAGAAAGTCGGTATGACAGTGACACTTTGTAAAGATTTACACCTACGTGATCCATAGAAAAACTTCAGGCATTTCGAAAAACTAAATTTGATAACGTTTTTGCTTTGTTTTCCCAAAAAAAAAAAATTGTTTCGTTTTTACTGAATTTACTGCGTACGATATAGTAATTGTAATTTCAAATACAATATATTTTGTAATGAGTACTAAATACGCAAAAGTAATGCGGGTTGTATAACGTCAAACACAGCTTGATTCAAAATTTTCACTCAACAAAGTGCTTTCTGATATACTTGTCAACTCTGTAGTCGTGTAAGATAACCACTTTCATGTTGAAAAAAAAAATCGACCAAGTACGAGGTCTGTTCAGAAAATAGCCGAACTTTTTGAATTACGCGTTAATGGAGATATTTAGTGACATGTGGTTGGCAGCATTTCGTTGCGCATAACCTCCTCTGTAACTACACGTTTTTGGATTGTTGATACCTCATTTAGTTTGCGTAAAATTGGGGAAAACTTTTACGGAAATGTTTCAACTATTGAAACAAACTTACGGAGATGATGTTCTGGGTCGTACGCATCGTTATGAATGCTTTTCACGATTTAAAAGTGGTCGTCAGTCAATTGGAGATGATCCTCGACCAGGAGGGCCTACGACTTCAACTGATGACTCCCATGATCAGAAAGTTAAAGATTCGGTACGTGCAAATCGCCGATTGACAGTCAGAGAATTGCATGTCAGTTGCGTCATGCCATGAAATTTTGACTGGAAAATTGAACATGCATCGATTTGCAGCAAAATTTGTACCCCGTTCGATGATCAAACAGAGAAAAATCGAGTGGATGTTGATTGATAAAGGATCTCCATGCCCCAAGAAAGCACGTCAGTCTCTATCCAATCTCAATTCTTGCTTACTTTGAATGAGGCAAGTACCAATAATGTATAAAATTAACATAATATAATAAAGGTTAAAAAAATAAAGTTCAGTTATTTTATGAACAGACCTCGTATTTCAAGAAACTAGAAATGCTTTCCTGTGTCTGAGAAACCAATCTCAATCACGATCCAATGTAACGAAATAAAAATTCTTATAAAATCGATTACATAGCTATCCTACAAGGACATATTCCTTTAAGATTACCCCGATATATGTCAGACTTGAATCCTGCTGAGGTAATAATTAAACAATGCATATGACATCATAACGTCACTAGAGAATTATTATCAATTGTTGATTTAAGACATAGTGCAGACAACATAATCTGTAACACCGGCTAACTGAAAATCTAAGTCATGTTATTGATATAGAAGATAAATGTTGGATACTAGATTTTTAATTTGAGACAACCGTAGATGAAGTTCTTCTACTTTTTCTTTGTTTTCGCACATTATGCCTAATTCACTACATACATTTTACATAATACTTATCCAGTTTGATGTTTCATATTCGACACGTGACGTCAAAATGCGTCAGTCGGCAGAGAACATTGAGATAAGACACTATAGATTAGAATATCAGTGCTTACAAGTTATTGAATTTCTTTTGTATTTTTTTTTAGAGAAAGTAGAACTATGGGATTGATAAACCTTGATCGTCGTTATACTAACGATCATTACCACGAAAAATTTGTTTTGTTCACAACTACGAAAGTGATAAATACTTATGAAAAGATACTGGTTTATGAAAAATAAGATGACTGATTGTGATATTCGTGTCAACAAACTATGTTGACATAGAATACACGTTGGAATTATAAAAAAACTTGAAAAATTTCATATCACGAATTTATAAGTTGTTTATAAGTTCTTTGTAATACTTGCTTTTCTTCATCGCTTGGATTTTATAGTTTATTTAAATAATAATTAATATTCATACATAAGTTGGCATAATCTGACAACGTTGACGTTAATAATTTGAAGAGGTGTTGTCACAGAACTAATAAAAGATAGAACCAAATTTACTTGGTATTGTTTGCGCTTACTTTTTTATACATTAGAGAGAGATAATACATAATACTATTATTGCATAGCAAAAATGGGCATTCGTCTGGAAACCACACTGTTCTGTTCACCATCGTTAAAGAGCGGGTATTGGCGACTTCCTAGAACAATATAAGACACTTTTGAAACATGATTCATATCTTTATAAAATATCTAAGATGCCATCTGATAACTACATGTTCTAGCATGTGTAATTGTGTGTGTAAATTTGTAGCGCAAATAAACTATATCCCACCCAGCGAATATTGAAAGTATTATACCTCCTGCATGTACTAATATTTCGATATTAAAGCTTCATCATTTCACAGATATCTTATCTAAATAATCGTTATCTTTGGTATGTAACTTATCAGCGCATTCCAGCCGCTATTTTTACGACGCTAGATGTAAAAACAATTAAAATAACGTGGTTAATACAAAATGAGGTAAGATTAACCGTGTTAAATCTTCTGTATCCAATTTGTTATTATCTAAGGAATTTAAATCTCGGAAAGGCAAATACACGCTCATATATTTCACGTTCTTCTGAATAAGGAAAAGTAAGTTAATTGTTTGTTAAGATTCCTTTCAGAGAAAACAGAGAAGTCAATACACATTATGATTTTTTATCGTTTTCAGATACTTCCATGTCGTTTTGTGCTCCAGATTGGATGAGGTATCTTTACGGTGGTGTTCAATTTGCAATAAGTCTGTTTCTGCCGAGAAAAATAAGTGACATTTTTAATAATTTTCCAGCTGGGGACTAACCTTAGCGGAGAGTGATAAGTTATCATGGAGACTATGAATAAAGTGACGGAAGTAAGGGATAGTTATTTCGTAACTTATGGAGTGTTTTATTCAATGGGTGTTTTGACTTTTGTGCCGTACTTCTTCTGCATCCTTGCCACAGACGTGAGTAAAATGATTGTAACAAAAGAATTGTTATCTATACGATTATTCGATTTTAAGAAGTCAATTCATTAAAAAGTTACTAGTTTTTATTTATAAATAAAATATTAATAATTAAACCTTTGCGTCAAAAGAATCAGTCAAAGGGTTGATTACGTAAAATTAAGTTTTTCCTAGCCAGAAATATAGCGTCGCTGATATGTATGGAAACGGTCGATTATTTCTTAAAGTAAGATACTTGTCGATAGTATCTTAGTATCACAAGATACAAACGTTTTAGGGTTTTTTAAAATCTAATACAATAAAGAAAAAATAAGTATACAGAACCAGTCAAAAAGTCATGATGAACCCAAATTGCTTTTTCTTTAATGGAACACCCTGTATATTATTCCATATTTCAATTCTTCTCGAAATTTTGAACAAAATTCATATAGCACATCATGTACCTAAACTTAACCGTTTTTGATATATCGAACTTTGAAAGTAACTTTTTACTACTCTCAAATTAATAAAAGACTTCGGCTTCGCACGGGTAAATGTACCTATGTTACTCCGAGGAGATGTAGCTTTCGGTAAAATTGGTTGAATAGTTTTTGAGTTAAATCGTAACAAACATAAAAATCAATCATCTTTCATCTAATGCGACCCTAATATTAATTTTAAAATAATTCACGATATATCTATATACCTATAAAGACAACAAACGAACTCAAAATTAAAAATGTAAGACCTTTAAATTTAAAACAATATAGGTAACTACCAACAATGTGAAAACAAAACGAATTAAATTAAAGTACCTATGTTCAGGACTATCAATTTTAATTAATAAGTAAGTAGTTAGGTATCTAACTACCTAAAGAATACAAACACGACACAAAAATGCGACTATGAAGTTATAAATGATTGACAATAAGAAAAAAACAAACAAATTATTAAAACTCAATGAAATAAAAGTATGTTTGCAAGTATCTATGTTTGTTCCTACTACCCAAAGACAACAAATACAAAACAAAAATGTGACCTTAAAATATCGAACGCAATTATAACTTTCCAACAACACCCAGAAAGAAAACACAGTCGTCAGTCGTCACCTCCATTCGCTCCAAGTCAGTTTATTAAAGGATCACGCGCGCATTATCGTTCGGCTTATTAGCTAAACAGTAGGCAAGACGGTGCGGGGGGAGGGTCGGCGATCGCATCAAGCGAAGCGAGACGCTTGAATTTTATTCTCGCGTCCGTAATTTTTTTGCGATTACTCTTAAGATATTCATTTAAATTATATGGTGTAAAAGAGTAAAATAATGTGCATGAAATGCTTAAAGCCTCTAACTTATTTAAAATGATAAGGATTAATACCGTATTTGTGTAAGTAGCTTTTACATTACCGCTTTATAATTGCCAATTTTTTAAAGTATTAAAATGGATATAGTATGTTATCCTTAAGAGATAGATATATGCCATCCCGGACTTTTCTGTAGACCTATATAAGATACACAATTCCACCATACATTATTTTGTTATATCTCAAAGGGTTTAGGCAGCGTTTTCGTTGAAAGCTCCCAGACGGCTTATTATTTTCCGACACCTCCAACAAATATCGTTAATGTATACAAAAACTTAACAAATTATATACTAAAACCTTCCTCGAGAACCACTCTATCCACTGGTGAAAACAGCATGAAAATCGATGCAGTAGTTTTTGAGTTTTTATCGCGAACATACAGACAGACAGACAGTCGCGGCGGAGGACTTTGTTTTATAATATGTAGTGAAAAAGGGCCCTAAATAGACTTTCTTAGTGTGACGTCACATATTTAGGGAACTCGCAGAAAATTGTCATAGTTGAAATGGTACAGGCCGAATCTGATCCTTGTGTACTATTCACATAGATATTAAAAAATGAACAACTTCAAATTAATTTATTTTTACAAGGATTTGGAAGTATTTAAGAACAACCAACACGTGTTTCGTAAAATAGATACACTAATGTGCTAAAATTTACAAAAAACGATATAAAAGAATATTCCTAAATTTAAATAAAGTAAAAATTTAACATTAGCCGTGTTATTCCTAATGCTCATGCTCGGAAAAAATAGCCTCATACGCAGGTGAGCTCTTGTTGATATGTTATCATTATCATTATTAGCTTATGTTCTCTTTTGTTTAATCTTGGCATTTTCTAGTTATACTAAGTATTGTTATTGTTTTTTTTTGGTGTTGTACTGCGTCAGTACAAGATCAAGTGTTTTTTTCTTCAAGTGGTTTATTACAGACGTACTCTTATATCCTGTTGCGAGGCTACTTGAAACTTCTCAAATACAGGGTGCCCTAGAATAACGTGTACAACGGAAGGCCACAGATTCGTGTACACAAAATAGACAGATTTAGGCTAATTCGCCTATAAGCGAAATCGCTTCGTTTGGCCGCTAGATGGCCTCAAAATTCATGAAAATTTTTTGAATTTTGTAAATAACTCGAATACGTATTAATCGATTTTGATTATTTTTGGACTTTTACTTTCAATATACACATTTTGGTGTTATACAGAGTGTTTTTTAAAATTCACAACTCCTACAAAATTGATTATGGTGATAATATCCGTTCATAACTTTTTCCTCTTTCGGGAAATAATTACAACTATTTTGTATTTGATAGGTGATATCATTTGGAAATTTTTGGGTACAAAAAAATATTTTTTAAATGTCTACATTATCTTGTCACCAATATTACAATACCTACTTAACAAAGTACTAGTAGTCACTGATTTTGTAGGTTGACTGTAATTTTAATTTGATCTCTAAGTAATTGTACCTGCCAATTTTTAATGAGTGTTTACTATGATAAGATTTACCACATGTTAATTTTTCGATATGGCTACACACATACGACAAATTAGAGTTAATTACAACATGCCTATTTTATTGAAATAATTCGTAAAAATAATACTTAATCAAATACAATAAAAAATGCTGGAGATAAAAGTAACAAAGTTGAGGTTATTAAATTTAGTACAACTTATTATAAAAACTGTTTAAAGTGACCGTTGTTTCTACAACAAAGGTTAATTCGGCAAAGAAAGTTAAAGCACACCCTTTGCAGTTCTTAAGAGCTATTTTTTAAAACATTTATGGTATTTTAGATATGCCTCCACAACTCAGTTCAGTATTAGATGTGAAATCATGCACTATTGTTTTCAGAGTGCCCCAAAGATAATAGTCGCAAGGTGTTAAGTCTGGTGAACGTATAGGCCAGTTAACAGAAATATTATCTCTTCTACCGATCCATCGACTAGGGAATCTTTGATTCAGATACTGCTGGACATTTACAGTGAAATGTGGTAGAGCGCCATTATGAATAAACCACATGTTAGCTCTGAGTAATAACGGCAATAACTCGGGTTTTGCAAAAATTCTAAATAAAATTCCCTATTCAGTCTATTGGGTAGAATAACAGGACCAATAATAATGATATCCCAAACAAGATCAAACTGAAAATATAGTCAATCTACATTTAATCAAAATTCTACAAGAGACCCAAAAACGTCCAAATAGTAACACATAACAGAAAAAAAAGAGGTGTAATTATTACCCGAAAGAGGAAAAAGTTATGAACAGATATTATCACCATACATCAATTTTGTAGGAGTTGTAGGTTTTAAAAAACACTCTTTATAACACTAAAATGTGTAGATTGAAAGCAAAAGTTCACATCCCAAAAATAATCAAAATCGATTAATAGGTAGGTATACGAGTTATGCACAAAATTCAAAAAATTTTCACGACCATCTAGCGACTAAACGAAGCGATTTTGGATATAGGTGAATTAGCCTAAATCTGCCTATTTTGTGTCCACGAATCTGTGGTCTTCTGTTGTACACGTTATTGTGGGACACCCTGTATTTGTAAAATTACCAGAATATTGCAATATTTAAGGTCATGACAAAGAAGCCATTTTTTTGACACTTATGTCCAAAGTACAAAAGTTCGAAAATCAATCTAGTAAAAATATTGAGAAATTCTTCATGACAATGTGCACTGTGGGGTTGCCTATTATTCGGCGTATGTGACGTGACTACTAAAAAGGTGTATTATGGATATTTATTTTGAAAAGGTGTGTGATAAAAATGCATGAAATAGAAAAATGTACTTTTTAATGAATGTCCTGGATATTTGAAATTTTATGAAAACAATAGTTATACCAGAATAAAAAAGAAAAAACAAATTTTAATAAGTAATAAATATTTTCTTTGGAATCCTATTTTATAAGGTGCCCAAAGTGTTGTTTATTTACCTCTTGGCAGTAAGCAATTCGCTGAAGAAAATTTTAGTCTAAAAGGGTGTTAGGAGGAATAGTGGAAATTACGTTTTATTCTTTCCTGCAACTCTTCGATATTTTGCGGCCTATTTTTATAGACTACAAAAAAGTCAAACGTGGTCATATCAGGAGACCTAGCTGACCATTCAATTGCCCCTCTGCGTCCAATCCATTTATCAGGAAGGGTTTCATCTAGAGATGTCCGTACCATATCTACGTCCAAAATGTGGAGGAGCCTCATCATGTTGAAATATTTGTTCTGCCGGTAAATTGGGATTCTTATTGTTCGAGAATAATCGTCTAGGCTCTGGAATAATAAATATCCGTCAGAGGTCAAATTTCCGTTTATAAGATGGGTCCTATGACGTGTCCATCAATAATGTCACACCAAACATTTACTTTCTGTGGTCATTGGGTGTGAACTTTCTCCATCCAATATTGATTTTGACCAATACCTGCAGTTGTGTCGGTTTACCTGTCAGTTTAAACAAAATATAGATTCGTCAGAAAACAATATGTGGGTGATAAAGTTTCAGAGATTTCAGACATTTTCGTTTAATTCATCCATAATAACTTCGCACAACTCGGTTCTACGATCAGAATTGGCTTCACCCAATTCTTGTAACAAATGAATTTTATGTGGATGTAATTTTTTCCTTTTGCAAATTCTCATGTTATGATTTAAAGCCGTGTGTTGTGCCACATCCAACATGACATTCATTTTCGTCTATCTGTAACACCCCCAGTTTCATGAAAACGCTACAATGTTTTTGAAACGATTTAGAAATCAGTATGCAATTCATGAAAAATATCCACTACTTCGTCACAACTTCGTCTTCTATAACCATATCGCATGATCATTAAAACTTCAATACCCTCAGTTTCACTTAAACGTACCACATATATTTTTGACATGTGTTGTCAAAATAATCACCGTTAAACAAAAGAATGACGCGGCGTTTTTACGGAGCTAGAAACTTTCATAGATAACTTGATGGACTATAAACTTAATGGACAAATATTTTTGTATAATAATAATTTATATGAAAATGATTTTCAAAGTTCAATATCTTGAAAACGGTTAATTTAGGTACATGATGTGATATGAATTTTATTTAGAATTTCGAGAAGAATTGAAATAAGGAATAATATACAGTGTGTTCCATTAAAGAAAAAGCAATTTTGTTTCGTCATGACTTTTTGACTGATCCTGCATATTTAATTTTTCTTTACTGTAATATATTTTAAAAAATTCTAAAACGTTTGTGTCTTATGATTTTTGCGATAACTATCTTGCTTTAGGAGATAATCGACCGTTTCCATACATATTACCGACCCTATATATCACTATCATACATTATCCAGTTTACGTTTTGAAATACTCTGCGTCAGAACATTCAAATTAACAAAAGTCAAATGAGAATTTCTTTGTTTTGTTTATCTAAACAGAGTTTTTCGAAACGTATACTGTTGGTTATAGTTCCTTACGATCCTTTTGGTTTAAAGAGTTGTTTATTATAATATTCTTTCTTCCGGTGTAGCAGAAATACTGAATCAAATACAAAACATACGTGATTAGATATTATTATTAAAAAGCAATAAGAAAAATAATCTCTTACCAGCGTCATTGTTTAAACTTAGTGCATTAAGCAGATACCTTTGGTGTTATTGAGTATTAAAAATACCATTAAATCAGATAAAAACTGGATGAAAAAGTTAAGCTTGAACAATTTTATCATCAAATAGTGATTTAATTTTTCTTACATTTGATATAAGTACTTGTGAAAAATTAACAATGTTTTTAAGTTAGCATCAGTATCCTTTAGTTTTTTTTTATGACATATAAAATATCCAATTCGATTCATTTCTTTGTCTTATGTTCAAATGAGACTAAGCCTTTCCCGTTGCAGTACTGGATGTTCAAATTTCGAGATCCCTCTAGAGGTGGTCCAGTTCAACCAGACCGACCAACACCACCTCCAATACCTCCAGATGATTTTGAGGATTTTGCTTTTCTAGTGGATGGGGCGGAAGACTCTGGACGTGCCAGAGATCGGACACAATTGCAGGCTAGTTTCACCTCTTCCTTCTCCATCACGTATCAGGTTTCTTTACTTGGATTCCTGGTGGTCACAGCATTATTCCGTAAAAAGCTGCCACCTCCGTCCAAAAGAATAAAGGCAGCGCTCTTTTCCATGTTAGTCTTGTTCTTAATACACACAGCCTTCACCAAAATCAATACAGATTCATGTAAGTGTTCAGAAAGTATTTGCTTTAAAATATGAGAGTCATTAAATAGTAGGAATTGTTGATAAACTTGTTCTAAGGCTCATTTTACAACATAGTTTTTCTGCTTTCTAACACACCTCGTCTAACTGTCCACAAACCCTTAACATAAATATTTGTTGGACTCGAATTCTATCAACTAATTTCAGAAGTAAAAATTCAAAAATTCAAAATTCAAATCTAGTCATTTAATTTCCTGTTACACTTTAAGATTGTACGGGAACTATCTGCACAAATTTATATGTACATATGTATTTGCAAACATGCCGATTCCTATATTTCCTTTTGGGATTTTCTTGGGAACTGGTGGCAAAACTATAAAATTGAGATATTGTAATATTTGTTCTATTGGTCGAACTTGTACCATTATTCGTTTCGACTTTTCAAAGAACATTAGCAAGGTCAGAGGATGTGTAAAATTGGTTGAAAGCTTTTCTGTAAAAAGCGTCAACCAATTTATCAACCAAATAGGTTATGAGGCAGAAGGATCATGTCAAAAAATAAGATATTTTTGTACCAATACTATTAATGTTGTTACTTTATAACTTCCCCTCCGAATTATATTTCGATTGGTGTCCAATCTTGGAATACGGAATTCTTTTTTCAGCAGTATTATTTGCTACTAAAACCTAGGTACGTTTAAGTGACACTTACAACAATACATTGGACGACCTTTCTATGATAAAAAAAAATTTGATTTGAATTCATGTAATTGAGAAATAAGTTTGTAGAATGTTTTTTTAAAGTGTCTGCGTTTTTTTATTAACTAAAAACATTGTTCCAAAATCACAGCATCAAAATATTTGGCTTCAAAATATTGGGACATAATCCAGAAAACTGATTTCTTGAATGCAAAATATTCCATTCTAAAAACAGCTAAAGACAGTAGAGGTAACAGAGGTGATTAATCTAAACTACTAAAAATATATGAAGAAAAACCATTGGTAAAGTTTTTGTTACATGGTTTGTTTCTTACAGTTCAGGAGGCATTTTTTGCAATAGCGATGATCTTGGCAGTACTACTCAATCGTAAGTTTTGTGAATTTTGATTTTCAACTGTATCCGTAAAATATATTCGATTATTCATATCATTCTGAAACTTTCCACGACTTGTAACACACTTTATCGTATTTCAGTGAGTAGCGCTATAATCATGGTCAGTCTCTTCGAATTGGTCATAAACTTCCCCATTGGTTACTACGGTACTATTTTATCCGGCCAGGCAATTTGTGGGGTGGTCTCTGCAATAGTACAAATTTGCGTGCAGAGCATTCGCTTACATTATCTTACCAGCGCACTGATTTACTTTATGGTGGGATCTGTCATCATCCTAGCCACCACGATTTTCTACCTGATAACCAAGCAGAAGTCCAAATATTTCATCTACAGGATAGGACAGTATGAAGACACTACCCAGCATCCAGTAGACAAGAAGTTCTCCTTTAATATGGACAAATTGAAGGGTGCTCTGCAGAGTACCAAGTGGTTCTTGGGGGCTATGGTGTTCGTGCAAGGCAGCACAGCTATGGTACATCCTGGATTGGCCGCTCTGATAGTTTCGGTTGAGAGAGACAGCGGTGGAGGAGACCAATGGAATGGTAAATATTATTTTTAGTTACTTAAAAAGCCTCTTGAAACAATTACTTAGTATTGAAGACTTGGGCTTCTTAGGATCATGGTTCTCTATAAATAAAACAATAACTTTAACAACAACATGTTATTTCTCCATATTTAATTTAAAAAATACATAGTTTAGTACAGAACATTATTATCTTTGTGTTACGAAAACGAGTAAAATAAGACGAATTTCATGAAAGTATAGACAAATTTTTAAAGGCAAGTAAAAGGATATTACAAATTGTATGATGAATGACTGAAAATAATGCGATGGAAAAACTTTTTTGAATGTATTCAAATAACCAAAATACTTCACCGTGGAGATTAATTTTTAATATCACTAATAATTTATCAATGTCATCAATGTGAACAATATTATTTTGTAACAAGCAATCCTTAACTTTAATTACTCAACCCAAGCGAATGAGGATATACATATCAATTGTTTTACAAATATCATACAGATCTGATAGCCACTGCAATAAAACCTATTTGAATGAATGAGCCGTCTCAAGATTTTTTATGGAAATCATTACGTTTAAAGTCGTCTGCAATGAGGAAATATTGGTACGCCAGCAAGAGACTTTTATGACATTTTCTGATAAAACTGAGAAAAGATATTTTCTTTAAATGCGAATCACTTCATTCTAAGTATTATGGAATCCACAGGACAACAAAAAAAATTATGCTTTCGGCCAATTTTCAATTAATTAACTCTCAAAACCTTATTGAGGATGACACAATGCTTATAGTGACAAAACGTTGACAAATAAAAAGAATACTTGTTTTCTTTGAAATTTGGTTTTAATGGTTATTATTTTTACTGTAGAACCATATGGAAACTGTTCAAAATATATTTTCGTATTCTAGTAATATTTCGTAAATTTTTTTGCAAATCATTTTTATAACAGATGACATAGCTGAAACTGTGGGAAATATCATTAAGATTATTTCAATAGTGCTATAAATTTAATTTTATCTTAACCAAAATAGGAGTAATAAATAAATAACAAAAATATTGTTGTAATTTCTCAATTATTACCAGGCTATATATTTTTGATTTTTTTATGAATCTGCTGATCTTTTAATTTTTAGTATTGCCCCTTAAATGACGAATGTTGATATATTAGTATAATATCTATTTCACATTTCAGAAATATACTTCGTCCCCGTGGTGACTTTCTTGGGTTTTCATGCATGCGATTTGATAGGAAGAGAAGTAGCTAGGAAAATACAAAGAGTAAGTTGAATCAGTTAATAATATTCAAAATAAAATCAATCGCGACTCACATTAGCAACAAGCAAAACAGTTTGGCAACAAAATCTTCGGTTTTACATGGAACCTTTTGGCTTCTGGTAAAAGAACAATTTCGCTATAAAAGTAGGTTGCCTGCAATTTTTTACCTTAAGTTGCCCAATGGAATTTCAGCATTTTTGAGACGGGAATACATTATCCGTATATTAATTTGGTTCTCAACATTACTCAGTATCAGTTATTCGAATTCACAGGTCTAGATTTAGTTAAAAAAAAAACGGATTCTACCTAGGTATACAGGGGTTTTTGGGGTCATTGATTCTGATGCCGAGATTGGTTGGCCTCTATCACCTCATGTTCAAGGTCATTATTTGAAGGATAAAGTAAGAATAGCAGGTGAAAAAAATTAGAAAATTTTTTCCGAATGCTCACCTGTCTACTTTTGTCTGTTTATCTGTCTGCATTTTTACCTGCACACCTGTTTGTTTGTTTGTTAGTCTCTATTTATCCTCTGCCTGTATTTTCCCTCTGTTCATCTACCTGACATCCTCCAAATTATTTTAATTATCTTAACTATTAGCACTGGAAGTTTCTAAACACAATATTTCGAAAACGGTGCGAGTCAGCTGCTTTCATAAAGTATACCTTTTTTGTGTAAAACAGTTGAAAATATGAATTTGATACCAAAGGTGAGACACCTTAAAGTATAAAAAAGTTATGTCATTTTTAACACATTCAGTCAGATTGTGATTCTGATTGTGGTTGTGAGCGCTCTGAATAATCTTTATTTTTCTTGTCATATATTTCGTCATATATGTTTTTATTTTATTTATTTCAGTTAGAGACGTAACTTCCCAAATTCCCAGTTGGCCAGACTGGTTGTCCAAGACGTTGGGTTGATTTTTTGTGATAGTGTCATTCAATTTCATTGATCGTGTAGCAACGGCTACTGTAGGAATCATTGATTTTAGTACATCTGAATCTAACTTTATACGTGATAAAGCATCTGCATTAGTGTTTGTTTTTCCGGGTTTGTATTGTATCTCGAAATTATAGTCTAGTAAGTCTAAACGCATTCTAGTCACTTTTGAAGACGAAGATTTATGAGTAAAAAGTCCAACTAATGGTCTGTGATCGGTAACAACTATAAATTTTTGGTTAGCATTGTATAGATATGAGCGGAAATGTGTTATTCCCCAATAAATTGTTAATAACTCTTTTAGAATTACAGGTTTATTTATTTCATGTTTTGTCAGATTTCTGCTTGCGTAAGCTATCGGGCGATCTTTTCCTATTTCACCTTGAAACAAAACACATCCCAACGCAAAATTTGAAGCGTCCGTAGTAAGAATGAAGGGTTTTGAAAAATCAGGATATTGCAATATGGGTGGTTCGATTAATTTTTCTTTAAAATATTAAATGCTTTGTCGCACTCTGACGTCCAATTAAATGTCTCATTTTTTCTTAATAATTTGTTCAGAGGGTATATCAGCAAAATTTGGTATAAATCTACGATAATAATTTAAAAATGCAATAAATCGTCTAATATCATCCCCATTTTTTGGAATTGGATAATTTTTTACGATTTCGTACATTTTTGGATCTGGACTAATCCCTTTGTCAGAAATTAAATGACCTAAATAATTCACTTCTCGTTGTAAAAAACTACACTTGGCTGGATTTAATTTTAAATTATATTTTCGACATCTTTCAAAAACATTAATAAGGTTTGTATTTTGATGTTTAAGGCTGCATCCAAAAACAATAATATCATCCACATACAGAAATGCACTGGTTTTGAGACCGGACATTGCTATTGTAATCATACGAGAAAAACTATTGGTTGAAATATTAAGTCCGAACGGTAATCTTTTATATTAGTAATGTCCTGAATTTGTAAAAAATGCTGTAAGAGCACGACTTTCTTTATCTAATTCTATTTGATGGAAAGAACTAGCTAAGTCTATTGTAGAAAAGTATTTAGCTCTTCCTAAATGATCTAATATATCTTTGATATTAGGCAGTGGAAATTTATCTTGAATAATTTTTTTATTTAATTGTCTAAAATCTACTACTAATCGCCAATCTTGTTTTTCTGTGCTAGATTTCTTCTTCTAGACTAATAATGGTGAGTTATATGGACTAATAGAGTGTTCGATTATATCAGTTTTGAGTAATTTATCTACTTGCTTTTCGATTTCGTCCTTTTGTGATTGCGGTAATCTATAATTTTTTATGTATACGGGATCATTATCTGATATTCTGAGTTTCTGCACAGACAAAATAGCTATCGCCACAGACCGCTCCTGGAATAGGCCAGCAGTTTTAAATTTCCGAATTGCCGGTAGAGTACACCACCAGCAGAATTTTGGGAAGAATCAAATACAGCGGCCCGCATACCTAAGCGTATCCTAGCAACATATAAACAAGACTTTGGTAATGTTGCCAGGCGTACTTACGGATTTCTTTTGTACACTTTTTTATCAATATCTGTTTTTTGCGTTACTGTATTTACTTCAATGTATGATGTAGGTATTGATAAAAATGTTTTTAAAGAATCAACGAATATCTATGTATGTATCATATGATATTCTGCAGTGGTGTTACAATTAAGTTATTTAATCATAATTTCGTTAATTAGCTACCTACTATTTTCATTTTTTGGTATTGAAATACTGCAGAAAATATATTTCCAAATAAACAAAATTCGTAATAATATTTTAAACAGCTTGTAATATAATTTTTTTAATATTTGATGATGACGATAAATTTATTTAATATACAAGGTGGGTTATTAGTACGTCGCGGAATGTAGGTACAGGTTTTTTTTTGTATTTTGACATCCACTTATAGGTTTAATAATTAAAGATAGAAAGAAACTTTAAATACAAATGTACGACTTTTCCTTTATTTCATTTGACATCAAAATTTACTGGCATAAAATATATATGTTTAAAATAAAAAAAATCATTAAAAAAAATTAAAATTCATCCTTATGAAAATAACAAACAACGCTTTTTATAACTAACCTTTACAACAACATAAGGAGAATAACTAAAAACGAAATAACATTAATATACCTACAATTTTTACAAATCAACATGCAAGTGATTGTGATGATACAGTTGAAAATATGTTTCAATTTACTATTAATTGCTTCAAAAACAAATTCAAAATTATCAAGCATTTCGTCCTTTTTTTTTTTTCAATACTTGCAAATTTTCAGGTAAAAAAAATATGTCTAAAGGACTGACAATGAGATCGGGGCTGTTTTCTGGCCACCTAAGGTTTCTAATAATATTTTTTAGTGTTCGTTGACGGGATTCTTCCTCCAAAATAAATTTGCCAATATTCCTGAAGAACTTTTGCACATTATTGTTATTTGAATAATACAGTTAATTATGTTTTATTTTTCGTCATCAGAATAACCCATTGTAATTTTTTTAATTTTTTAAATTAAAATGGGTTATTCTAATAATGATAAATCCCATGTATTTTTAAAAGAAGGTTCGTTTCTGTCGTTTTTGTCTGATTGTGTGCGAGAGAGATAGAGTTATAGTGTGCGATAGAGATAGAGTGACTCTGTCCTCATAGAGAGCCTCTCTCTCTCTCTCTCTCTCTCTGCTGTCTTCAGGAGTCTCCCCAGCAATTTCAGGACACCTAGGGAGGGAACGTGGGGTAGAGCGCGTGGCCTTGTTAAGCCTTCGTTATCGATCTATGATGTCACACAGTATAAGAAAAAAAAATGGTTTTTGCTCGTAACTCGGAAATGGCTGGAAATATAAACAAATTTCCCCTTGGTTCTGAGTAGAGCACTCGGTGGGTGACGCAGAGCGGGGTGTCACAATATATGAAAAAAAAAAAAACAGTATTTGCTTAGACTCTTAAGTATCAAAAAATCTCCCATGGTGAACAAATAAATCTCCCATGGTGAACGAGTGAAAAACGTCAAAACCCGCATGTAAAAAAAAAAATCGGGACCAACGGTGTGTGACGTCATAGGATAAAAAAGTGTTTATAACTCGGAAACGGTGCGTTGAATCGAAAAAATAATTGAAAAATGTCAACCCCTCCCTCCCGGGTTCTGTATGTTCCTTCTGCGTTGAATGCAAAAGGTCCGAAGTCCGTATGTCGAAAATAAATTCTGGAAACAAGAGGTATGTCGTGTTATAGTAAAAAGGCCGTATAACTCGGAAACGGTGCGTTAAATCGAAAAAATAATTGAAAAAATCTCCCCACACCCCTGGTTCTGTATGACAGTTCTGCGTTGAATGGAAAAGGTCCGAAGTCCGTATGTGGAAAATAAATTTCGGAAAGAAGAGGTGTGTGAGGTGATACAGTAAAAAAGGTCTTATAATTCGGAAACGGTGCGTTGAATTGAAAAAATAATTAAAAAAATCTCCCCACTACTCTGGTTCTGATTGTCCGTTCTGCGTTGAATGGAAACGGTCCGAAGTCAGTATGTCGAAAAACAAAAAAGTTAGTTAGTTAAAAATTGCAACAGCAGTAGCGAACGCATTATCTTATCTCTGTATTGATTGATGATTTTTTTTTTTTTTTTAAATAAATTTCGTATTCAACTACTCCTTGAGGTTCCAGCAATTTTACATTGTGTTAATTTTTTTGAACACCTTGTGTCACAAATATGGGCACTACCAATGACATCCATAATATGCAACACTTGTGTCAATAAATAATTATTTACCTATCTAAAGAAATCAACAATAAGAGGCAGTACCCATCTAAGGATACACAATCTGTATAATGCAATTTTTTTAAACATAGGTTTTGATATCGTACCATATTGGAAGTCGACGCACAAATCTAAAAACATTACTTTCGAGTTTTTGAATTTTCCCATTCCAAGGTGATATAAAATAAATAATTAATTAGGTAAATTCATAGTTTTAATTCTAACTTGATTTATTTTATTTAACATTTAAGGCAAATGTGATTTCCAAACACAAGATAAGTTCCATATCTCTTTAATTACATAATTGAAAGTATTAAATTTATTTAGCAGTTATTATTTGGCAACAAAGCCACCGCTGGAACTGCCGCCTATTAGCAAGTAGAAGAGTTACCACGCTAAATTTTATAGCTGGAAGCCGGCTAAGGAGACCCTACTTCCATTTCGGGTTGCCAATTTCCAGCATTTAAGTAGCAGTCTGTAGCGATACGCTATATTGTCTGTGGTTTCTGTTTGTAAAAATTGTTGGCTGAAAGATTATCACCTTTTAAGTAAAAGATGTCATTGTATTCATTACAAATAGTTTTTACCGTTTCCAACGCATTCATGTCTACATTATTAAATTTCAGTTCCTCGAATAACCGTGTTATTCTATGGCTAAGCAGCGAATTGTTGTACTCGTTTACATCATTACAAGTCGTATTAATTAATCTTATATGAGGTAAACCAAACTTTGAAACTATTGTGTTAGCAATAAAAATTCCTTTTTCTTGATTTATAATTAAAGTGTCTTCGGTAAAATATTTATCTATGGGACATACAATTTCTGTCCGCACTGGTATCTCAATTTTGTTTATACAGGGTAACTTAATTTTTAAAGGAATGATATGTTCTAAGTGATCATAAAAAATACTTAAAGTCCAAGTATTGTAATCGATTTTGCAGTTAAATTTTGACAAAAAATCTCTACCTATTATACCATCTGTTAAAATTGGAAAATCAGCACTTACTAAATGAAATTCGTGTTTTAGTTTAGTTTATTTATGTATAAATTGGTCATAGTGGTGCCAAAAGTTACAGTTTTGTTCTTTGTTATGCCGCCTATCTGACATTTAGTTTTGGGATTGTATGTTTGATGAGAATTTACGCAAGGGGTTTTGCAAAGACTAATGTCTGCTCCGGTATCTATTAGAAAAGTTGTCAGTTTGCCTGTCATTTCGCAAAATATCTCGATATAATTTGTGTTGCCGGTACTTAGAAATATTAGTTTTCTGTTATCGTATCCAACTCCCTCACAGCTCTCTGATTTGATCGAGAGAGTTGGTCTTGACAGTTTTCCGACGGTTCAACGTTTTGTGTGTAGGTATATGTACCGAGTATTACGACGGTATGATTGTCAACCACGTGTGTATTGTCCACGATTAAAATATCTACCTCTGTATGAGTTATTGCTATTTATGCGCCCTCTAAATTGTTGGTTGTAGTTGTTTTGAGAACCATTATTGGAGTTATTGTTATATTCACTTCTATTTCTAGTATACGTACTGGATCTACTTCGATTACCTCGTCGTATATGACGATTATTGTTTCGATATCCGCGATTAAAAAAATTTTTCCTTTGAATGTGGAAAACATTTTGAGTGTTTTGAGGATTAAATCATTGAGAAACTTCAGCATATAATGCCATTTAAACTGCTTCGTTAAATTTTTTGACTCTTGACGCTAAAATAACGGCTCCAATATCCTTATTGAGACCATTTTAAAAAAAATTGAATGCCTCTTGATCATTTAGTTTTATTATTGCTTCACGAGCTTCAATGCCTTGTGATGATATAGAAATTGATTTTGGGCCTTGTTTAACTCTACTTAATTCTGAATGAACTGACGCGAGTGTTTTCATCGGTTTAAAATGATCTGTTATAGTTTTCTTTAGTTCGGCAAAATCTTTCTTCTGTTAAGTCCCCCGTTCTTTAAATTTTTGTTAATTATTTCAATTTCTTCTACAATTGTCAGAAGAGATTGGTAAGAAGTTATAAATAAAAAAATGATGAAGTCTTATAGCTAAAACTAGAATATAGTTGCACTGTTGACTTCACTTTATCCACTGTACTTGACTTACTTGTAAACTCTGTGAGGATGTTCGGGTCGGATGAAGATGAAGTCGGTGGTGCTGACTTGGTAGAAGATAGAAGTTAGTTGTAGAAAATTTTTATCTGAATTTCCATACTGGATGATGTTCTTATTAGAAAACTTCACTTCACTTAATTTAACAGTTTTTTTACATTTAAATGTTTTTTCTTTATTTTCACTTAATTTTTACATTTTCAGTAGGTACTTAAACTATGGAAGTTGTCTGTGAATATTGCAAAATAGCAGATCACTAGTAGCGACAAAATTACTATTATTATCGCTGAATAAATTTACAGATTAGTGCTACCATTATTTTGGTTCACTAAAATTTCTTCCTTTGTATTTTGGTTCCCCATTTTGCTTGACTTAAAACTTCACTTGCAAATGCACTACATCCTGGAATCTTTTAATTACTGGAATCTTCTAAAAAATTTTGGGCAGGATCGCCATGTGGTTTCAACTTTTGGGGTTAAGGTATATTTTGATGTTTATCGATAGAGAGTTCGAGTTAAGACTAATTTTATTTTCTATAACTACAATAATGTAAGTTTAGCTGAGTAAGAATAATGTGTTGTCATTGCTAGGGCGACCGGATCTAGGATCTTTGACCCGTCGCGTATTCCATTTATTGTAAAGTTGTAAATAGCGGTTAATGACAGTACAAGGATGCTTACTGCAAATTCCTTTGTTATCAAGATAAAAAAGATCGTATCAATAGCTCTTTCCAATCCACTCTTATTTGAGTGTCTTTTTTACATTTGTGGCCAGTCTACAAATTATTCCTCCAGGATTATAACCCAACATAGTTTTAGACAAATAACAACCCAAAGTAAAAAAACAAGAACGACACAAAAATACACGGAAATAACTCCAATAACACAGGATAGGGAAAATCTAAAAATGAAGATCTAAACTGAAATTTTTTTATCAAACAACGCTATTCGATTTATGATATCAGTGACGTCACTCATCAGTTCGGGTTTGACATATGCCTACTAGGTGTTTCAATTTGTTTACCTTTTTTTACTTTCACATTTATTGTCATAATAGAACCACTAATTTATCATTTCAGCCCCGAAACGCCTTCGTAATTCTGGCTTTGGCGTCGCTCAGACTAGTTTTGGTGCCCCTTCTTATGCTTTGCAATGCTCAGCCCAGAAGGCATATGCCAGTGATGTTTGGGGACAACCAGTATATGATTTTTATATATATGTTTGCCCTCTCACAGGGATATTTGGTCAACTTGTGTATTATATCAGTGCCACGGTAAGCAAAAAATGTTTTTCGTTGTGGATGTGTTGTATTTACTTTTGTTTTTCTAGGGTTGCTAAGAAGGAGGAGTTAGAATTTGTCACGGTCCTGCTGCCTTTATTTTCTGTATTGTCCGTAGCTATATGTTCTACTTTTAATTTAGTGATTATAAGTTTAATATAATTTATTTTTTATACTTTGGTTACTTCAGGTTTATCCCCTCTACCTTTCTCAAGCTGGATAAATGAACAGTTCAAATCTGGGTCAAGTCAGAGATAAAAAAGCTAATAATAAATCAGAGATAATCTAATGAAACAAAAACTAATAAAAGATCAAGTGATTGTTAAATGAAAATAAAAAAATTGTTTACTTATAAATAGGAGGACAAGTGAATTTAAATTATAGGAATGGAGGAACAATTGGAACAATTATGGTCACAATCTGAACTATTAATATTGTCCACACCATCTTTTCTTTCGGTTCTAAAAGAAAATATTTTCTAGTATGTTCACTGTGGAATTATACAAAACTTAATGTTTACTACTTGCTTTATTGCAAGAGTTGTTATATTACTCACATAACCTATATTAATAAAATGCATACAGGGTGGGCCAATGGAAACTTTCCACCCCGATTTTTTTGGTTTAAAATAAAAATCCGGGAAAACGCTCGGACACTTCGACTTTTGATTTGAGGGGGAACTATTTTTCAGTTTTTTTCATCCCTGTAGCTTTAACCCCCTAGCTGGGGAGAGAACAATGACCCAAATTTGAATAGGGGATAGGAGTCGTGCTATACCTCTTTTTAAAGGTCTCGTCGGTTTTTTTATGACCCTACAATTTGGCTTCAATATTTTTATCCATAACGAAATGACAGCTTGTCAAAATAAAAATAAATAAAAATAACTTTATCTAACAAACTGTTCAAAATGTGCGCCATTAACATCCATGCAATAATAAAATCGATTCTCTATCTCTTCTCTAACATTCTGCAAAACATCAGCATTTATCCTTTGACATTCTACAGTTATGCGTTCTTGCAGAACTTGAAGAGAAGCTGGCTGTGTTTTATAAACTGTAGACTTCAAATGGCCCCAGAGAAAGAAGTCTAGACAGGATAGATCAGGGGACCTTGCAGGCCACTCAATAGATCCCCTACGGTCAATCCAATGACCTCTAAAATTTTCGTTGAGGAATTGTCAAAGGATAACTGCCGATATGTTGCAGAATGTTAGAGAAGAGATAGAGAATCGATTTTATTATTGCATGGATATTAATGACGGACATTTTGAACAGTTTGTGAGATAAAGTTCACGTGTAGACTAACTGTTACTAATTAATAAATTTGTAAGTTCTTTTATTTATTTTTATTTTGGTAAGCTGTCATTTCGTTACGGATAAAAATAATGAGGCGAAATTGTGAGGCGAAATTGTTGGGTCATAAAGAACTCGATGAGACCTTTAAAAAGAGGTATGGCATGGCCCCTTTTCCATATTCAAATTTTGGGGGTTTTTCTCTCCCCAGCTAGGGGGTTAAAGCTACGGGGATGAAAAAAACTGAAAAATAGTTTCCCCTCAAATCAAATGTCGACGTGTCCGAGCGTTTTCCCAGATTTTTATCTTAAATAAAAAAAATCGGGGTGGAAAGTTTCCATTGGCCCACCCTAAAAAATTAGCAAAACTATAAAAAAATGAATCGATGTGAAATACCTCAGGTAGGTGGTCCTTAAGTTGAATATCACAGAGCAACATACTAGTGGCAGAAAGGACAGTCTCAAAACAAATGTTGCAAAAATAACGTAGTTACAAATTATTCAACTGCAAGATGATGTAGGTAGCTTAAATTAAAGTTCTTTTCCAATCATTATACAAGTTGCGTTCCAAAGTAAACAAGACTTTGCAAAAATAGGTAGGTATATCTAGTGAGGCCATCTATTGCCAATTAGATAGAAGAGCTAATACTAAGTTTTATTTTAAACTTAGGAAAACTTTTACTTTAATTGATGCACCAAGTTTATGGTGAGCAACATGTTGGACAACCGAAATCCGTGGTCGCCGCAGATTCCAATAAAACTGTGCATGAATTCATCAAAGATCAGCCAAAAACTTCATTGAAATTCATGGACTTGGAATTAAGCATCTCAAAAACATCAATTTATCGCATTTTGACCAAACATTTGGGCTACCGAAAAGTGTGTGCATGGTTTGTTCCGCACAAGTTGACTGATGACCAAAAATTCCTTTACAATATTGTAACTGGTGATGAAACGTGGTGTTTTCAATATGACCCAGAGACCAAGCTACAAAGTGCCAAGAGGAAGACGCCAGACAAGCCAAAACCCAAAAATCTCGTTTGGAGAAGTCAAAAGTGAAGACAGTGTTGATTTACTTTAACGATCCAAGGGCATTGTCCACAAAGAATGCGTTTCACGGGGCCATACCGTCAATGCACAATTCTATCTTGGCAACTTGAAACGGTTGGTGCAACATACTTGTCGTGTTCGGCCAGAATATCGCACAAAAGGAAGTTAGCGTTTGCTGCACGATAATGCGGCATCTCATCGATCGACACTTGTAACCAATTTTTTTTATTAAAAATCGCATTTAAACTGTCAACCACTACTCGTATTCGCCTGATTTGACACCGTGCGAGTTTTACCTTTTCGGAAAAATGCATTTGCCGATGAAAGGAACGCGTTTTGTGGATGCAGGAGCCATCCAAAATGTAGACTCATTCGACATGCGTTTAGATCGTGCAAATCGCTGCATTGAGTCGGAATCGGTCTTGCCCAAAAAACTTTTGATTGTTCTTATTTTCAAAAAGTCCCGTTTACTTTGAAACGCACCTTGTAAAAATGAAATGGTCAGTTTTTGAGATATCGATGCGAAAAAAGTAGTTGGTAAAGAACATATCTCTAACTTCTCTACCAACAAATTCAGAAGAATTAATTAACAAAAATTCATAGAATTGCAAGATTGCACGTACCTGAATAAAAAAGTTACTTATTCAAATAAAATAATGACTTTATTCTAACAAGTTTTTCAATATCAACGCATCCATTATCTTTTGATTATAATTATATACCTACCTAAATGTTAGCTCCATTATTAGCTCCTGTATTAGTTACAGACAAAACCAAGACCATAACAAGCATTATCATCTTGAGAATCTTCTTCAGTACATTCATCTCAAAGTTGGATCTCTCCTTCGCAAAGGTTTTGTATTTTTTCGGTTTTTCGTATAACTTGCTTAAAAAATATTCCGATTTGTTCATCACGATCAAGTAGAAGATCATTTTGAATGCTACAGGTCCAGTTGTCACGGCGTAATAATGTTCAACAGTGCCCTTGACAGATGGTGCAGCTGCCAGTGCTATCTGGATAAGATTTGCCAAGACATCGCACAAATTTTGACCCCCTAGTTGAGCTGCCAGACATGTCGGGGAAAACTTGTGGGTCATTTGAACGAGAGAAAATGAGAGGACAGCAGAAAGTGCTACTGAAAGAAATGTTGAGTGGAATGTACGGGACATGTTCTTTGATACTATTTAATGATCGCAGTATATTTTGAAAAAAAATGCCATTAATAAAAAAGATAATAGAACGATAAAGAATAAGAAAATTTTTTCCTACAACAATGGGTCTATTGATTTGTTTTCAATTTGGTTGTACAGCGTTATTCCTATTTTGTCTTGCAAAATGATGTTAAGTTTTTGGGAGTGCAGTCGAGTGCACCTTGATAATCACCTTTCATGGGATTTTCATATAAATGGAATTCTGAAAAAATTAGCTACAAAAAATTATGTTATTTGGAGTATAAAAAAAGTCTCAGTTTAGAAATTTTGAAACTGTACTTATTACGGTTGCATTGAATCTGTACTAAATTATGGAGTTATCTGTTGGGGGTGCAGTAGTAGCCTATATAAAGTTTTTATAATGCAAAAAAGAATAATCAGAAATATGTTTGAAATTTAAAACGTACATCTTATTTTAAACAAAATGGAATTTTAATTGTTTATTCTTTGTATATCTTAAATTGCGTAATTTATATAAAAACAAATTTAGAAAAGTTCCCGAAGAGAGGTGATCTGAATCCATACGAATTAAGAAATTCAAACATACTACACATACCGTACTGCAGAACTACCCAAGTCTCCAAATCGTCTGCAAAAATATCACTCAAATTATATAATCATCTGCCTCATGATATTCAAGATATTTCAAATATTATACCTTTTAAATTCGAAGTAAAGAAATTATTAAAGTATTATTCTTTTTACAATGTAGAGGAATACCTCACTAGCGATCTCTTGGACTGGCTTTAGGGACCATTTTAAATTTGTTTTACATGTATTGTCGGTTTTTAAAACTATTTCTTATGTATATCTATACACTATTATCTATTTATTTTTACTAACAGTTGTATTTAATTACTTGTTTTATACAGGGATGGCTAGAAGTACAGAATAAAATTCATATCTCTTGAATGAGTTAGTTTTTTTTTAAACGCCGAAACACGTTAACTGATTTTGATTTTTTCCCATCTTTCGGTTATATAATAATTTATTTTTCTTCAACCCCCTAACCCCCAGCTACCCCTACTTTTTTTTCAAATGGAAACATAAGGCATGAGGGAGCTCGTTGAAAAGCTTATAGAAAACCGAATCCAGCCATACCAAATAAACAAGTTTTATTTTTTCAATAACAAGTTTTTTTTTCATTTAGAAATTGAAACAACTAGATAATTTACAAAAATAAACTCAATGTCGCAAATGCTGAAAATGTCCTCCATTCACTATTTGGCATTCTCCAAGAGGATATTAAAAGCTGTACACAGCATTCTGAATGACTTCAGCTGGGAAATTATCCATCTCCGCCCTAATCTTGTTCTTTAAATTCTCAATATTATCCGGTCTGTCCAGGTAGACTCTTTCTTTCAAATATCCACAAAGAAAATAATCCAGGGGTGTTAAGTCGGGGGATCTTGGCGGTCATTCAGCTGTACCCCGTCTACCAATCCAGCGATTTGGAAACATTTCATCTAAGTATTTTCGAACATCAATACCAAAATGTGGGGCAGCGCCATCTTGTTGGAACCAAAAAACACTGGCCACATGAGCACAAGTTCCTACTATTCTCGCTCCTGAGTAATACGTGCAATAATATGCTAGGGTTGGACCATTATCTTGATCACCACCCATAATTATCTTCATCCACGTTGACATAACTAATGAATATTTGATGTCTTGCAGAATTTCGGAATCTTGAGAAAATTCGTCCTCTTAGAAGTCCTGGTTCATCTATATGTTCATCCAATTGAAATTCATCATTTTCCCTAAGCACCTTCTGTATACTGTATACCCGAATGGATGGCTGAATCGGATTCAGTAACCCCGGCAATCTAAGAGATATGTGTTTTGGACATGGCTTCTCTTCATTTTACCTTACAATGAATCTTCTTCAATTTATACCTATAACTCCTACCTTTCGGCGACTATATTTCGAAAAATATAATTTTCTCAGCTTAGTGCCTATGACAACTTTTTATCTAAGCTTCGAGAACTATTCAAATCCAAATTTTCAGAACTATCGGCTGGAAGCCATTTTCCATAAGGAACCTGCGGGGTCATTTCATGAAATATCTTAAAAACGTCAAAGTTATCTTACTAATATATACTAATATTCCTTTGAAGTCCGAGAACTTTTTAAAAAAACAAAATTATATTAATTGATATAAATTGGTTTATTTTCTCCAAAGGAATATATCTGTCACCAAGACGGGCTCCTTGCATGTATGGTTTTCTTAATGTAGTTTATAATTTGATATTTTATGTTACTATTTATATTTAAGTAAATGAAGAAAATAAAAACGTGTTTTAAATTTATTTTTTACCCCCTCTCAATAACATCTATCTCCATAAAACGGGCATTTATACAATATCTGGGTATTGCAGGTCTTGTTACAGCGACGTTTTAGAATTTAAGTTATTTGAAGATTGGCTTCCTGCAATGTGTGTTGCATATTAAAATGTAAAATTAAATTTTACGTAAAAAGGTAGGTACACTTGTTGAAATAGCTGAAAATTGCTTATTTGTACCAAATTTAGTGATTCTCGTACAACATGGTTTCGAGACATAAAAAAACTTCTTAGAGGCAGATTTCAGGGGGCTGTAACTCCGAAAGAGGGAGCCAGTTGGCAAAAAGAAAAATACGAGTCCCCTAAATTTGTCTTAAGAAACTATCATCAAATTTTGTTGCATGAATTTCCAGACACCCTGTATAACACATTTTATAGGGATATGGATCCATTATAGCAAGGTAAGCATAACTATCACCAGTATTTCTGATTAATAAAATCATGAAAAAAAGTTCTTCCAGTGTTCAAAATCCATTTTTTACATTCTTTTTGTAATTATTTAAATTATTAATCCGTATATTCTCAGACAGTTTACTGAGCAGTCTTGGAGCCAAGTAGTCGGAGCTATATTGCCCGATTGTAAAAACATTTGCTTCTGAAAATAGAGTATCACTAGAGTAAATTAATGGTCTTTCAATTTTTAATATCCATTTTTGGATGGCATTAAGGTTATTTAGATGGCTGACTGGAAAATCCGAATTTGGCCAATTCCTTCAGCTACGTTGCTAATTATTTTACAAAAAAAATTTAAATTACAAAGTTTCAGGTTTTTGCAGTGTTAATAAGATAGTGTGATCAAATTGTTCGTGCAAAACAGCTGCAGTTGTCCCATTTTTCGAAATAACCGTACCAAATATATAGTTGGAAAACATAAAAAAATATATTTTTTTCAAGCTCATAGCTATAACTATGGTTTATATTTAAAAAACTTGAAGTTTATGTTATAACTTGAAAACGAAAGTGCACACGAACAATTTGATCAGACTGTTTTATTAACGTTGCATAAACCTGAAACTTTTTTTTTCCAGATATCTAGTCAGCCATGACGTTTTCACAAAAAATAAAAGTAACATTTAATAAGGATCATAAAACTACATATCTTTCCTCAATTAAGCTTTTTTATATCTCTGCTACTTTCCCAGATCCCTACACTAAATATCGAAAACAACTCACCCTGTATAGTAAAAAGCAGCGGTCCAAGAACCGTTCCTTGCGGAACGCCGCAGGTAAGAGGTTGTCAAAGGTTAGTGCAATATATTGTTTCTTCAAAAAGATATGACCAAAATTTGATTAAAAATAATCACACTGACTAACAAAAATTGAGTGACCTTCTAAACCAAGGACAAGACTATACTTTCTCGAAGTCTGTTAGGGATCCTCTGGGAGAGCCTAGATCCTTGTTATAGTTCGGTCATTCCTTCCCATCCGTTTACTTTAACCTTCACTCTCTAAGGAGTGGGCAGATCCAGCTCTGTATATACAGGGTGTTCCAATTACACTTCCCAGTAAGAAAATATCGGAATTAAAAAAAAACAAAAAAGACTGGGACACGTCAATTTTCTTGTCAAGGGAGACACGTGATGGCGTAAATTTTGGTGTCTTGGAAGCTACCCCTTAGGCAAGGGCCTAAAATACCCTTAAACTTTCACCCTATGCTGAGTGACACCGTATTTTTCAATTCTGCTCATAATAAAATATTTGCTCCACTTCCGACGAACAATTCGAAGCATTTCGGGCGTTATCTGACGACCATTATCGCGTCCCCTCTACATTCCTAGTAACGGAATTTTAAGCGCCTTGCTTAATTTATCTTCGAATTTCCTTTCCAAATTTGTGTGCATCTATGAGTAACCATCTAATCAATAAAGTGTCTCCCTTATCGTAATAACATAATCAGTGCTACCAGTACTATATAAGCATAATAAGGTTTCGTTTTAGCTGCAGTTCTACTTAAAATAATTTTTAGAACACTTATGATGAAACTGAAAGGTGAATTTTCTATTTATATACTTACGAACTGACTTATATCGTATCGTTTACAGAAAGAGAAGATGTTGAACAAATGGTGGCTAAGAAAGAAATTGAAAAGATGGATGAACCAGTTAGTTACTTGTTTATAGTACTGTTTTACTTTTTAGGAACTGCCTGTTTTGTACCACAACATTTTTACGTTACAGCAAATGAGGTATGCTATTTTAAAAATTTTATTCGGGAAATAAAAAAATTGATTCTACGTGTCTTAAGTGGTTTATATATGATAAATAACCATCATGGTTATGCTTATTACACGTGTTGTGTTTATTTTTCTTTTAGTAATTTATATTTTGATTATTATCGTTGTCTAGTAAGTATTGTATTGTTGTATGTCACCATTTCTATTCTTTCAGTACTGGATGTACAAATTTAGGGACACTAATCAGATATTTAATCAAACAGAGTCTTCGAAAACAAGCTTGCAAAAAAATTTCACCGCCTATACGGGAATCGTTGGTAATGCAGGCATGGTTCTGTTCTTGTTCGTAACGCTGTTTATTCATAAGAAAATTTCGGTTTATAAAAGAATCCTGGGAAGTATGACCTCGTTGCTGTTGCTCTTTGCTATCACACTGATCTTTATATTTGTGGATACAGACTCGTGTAAGTGTTCACGTTGTACCTCTGTCTGTCAGATTCTAATGTATTTTGGTTTTTAGGGCAAACAGGGTTTTTCGTCATTGCCGTAGGAGTGTCAGCTCTTCTCAGTTGTTAGTATCAAAATCACCTTTGCGTAAAGACTACTATTAACTGTCAAACTTTACAGCTAGTGGTTCCGTTCTCCTGGTCTCACTCTTCCAACTGGCGTATCGGTTTCCTCCAAGGTGCCTGGCTGCTCAACTGGCGGGCCAGTCACTATGCGGGATAGTGGGTGCACTGGTGCAAGTTCTTGCCTTGCTGGCTGCACCCACAGTCGAAGGAACCGCCAGTTTGTATTATGCGATTGCAACTGCAACGATTGCAGGCCCAATGATTGCATTCATAATAGCTTCTAAAAAGTCCGACCTCTTGCGGAGCAAGCTGATAAAGAAGCCAGAAGAAGAAAAAAAAACACCCAGGACCGGTATAAAATTTAATTTTGGTTTGATGAAAACGTTATTAAGAAAGATGGGACTGCTTATCGCCTCGCTTGTTTTCTGCGTATGTGCTACGGGAATTTTGAATCCTGGACTCACCGTTTTAATTGAATCTTCTGGAAAGGGGACTAACACTTGGAGCGGTAAGTACTTCATTAAACAAGAAAATATTAACGTAGGTACTTACTTAACTTACTCGATATCTATTGTAAAGTTCTAGCTGAAGAGATTCTTTCAGAAAAACATTTATTTGTTACAGCATTTTTTTTCCTTTTCTGCTTTAATATCTATACTATTTTTTTCAGATACCTACTTCATACCCGTGTGTGTATTCCTGATATTCAATTTATTTGAATTTCTAGGTAGAGAACTTTCCAATCACATCCCATTGGTAAGTTCAATATAATTTTGATGATATCATTGATATTTCAAAATAGGTGAAGTTGCATATTTTACTAAGAAAATGAAGTTTAACCTGAAATGAAGCAACACTATATTTCTTTTTTCAGTTGAAAAACATTTATGTCATCTTTGGAACAGCTTTTCTACGACTGGCCTTATTGCCACTAATACTGTTATGTAATCTCCAACCTAAAAGTAATTTACCTGTTGTGTTCCACGAAGATGCTTACTTTATAGTTTTCATGATTCTTCTGGCAACTACTAGTGGTTACATACTGAATATATCCATAGTCGTACTGCCAATGTGAGTTTAAAGAATAATATATTTTCATTTAAGTGTTAAAACATACTTTTCTGTTTACAATTTCAGAAATGCCGAAGAAAGGAGTTTGGGCATGGTCGTAATCGTCTTGGTTATGATTATATTTGTAACATTAACTTCCTTTCTAGGAGGAGTGGTTGTTAACTTAATTTAAAAAAATGTATTTGTATATTACTGTGTATTAAATATTTTAGACTATTAATTATTTTAGGTAAAATGCTTTTTGTACATAAATGTTTGTAAACAAATTAAAGATTCTGACAATGCATTTTGTAAAAAAAAGATACCAACTCTAGTTTTTCTCTAAATATTACCGTATCCCATTTTTAAATTAGGGAAAATTTGCATAATTGTAATCTTTGACAGCTTATCCTCAAATGTGTTAGTGAGTCTTCTGTGTTTTTTTTAATTCCAGAAAGCTCTCAGAATCTATGATGAAATATAACGCCGTTATGAACCAGAAATGTTTTAAGGTGTTCTGATTTACCATTAACATAAAAATGATATTTAAATATTTTTTAATAAAGAGACCCTACGAACGTATATAGTTGGAAACAGACAACTATTTACTATATGAGCAATGTACGGAATAATATAGGGACAGTAGTATTTCAAGATCGTCAGGTTTATATCATCTGGACCCATGGAATTTGGTTTAATAGAATATAAAATTTTAGAAACGGTATTTACGTCCACTAATAAGAATTCAAAATTTGCAGGAATATTTTTAAATGTATTATTTTCATAATAACTTATTAAACGGCCGTTATCATAATTTGGAACTGGAGTACTATTGATAAAATTATTATTATTTATTATATTAGGATCTCTAAGATGAATTCGTAAATTACCATCTTTACGTTGTTTTAGGTTTAAAGGTTTTACGCCATTCCAAATATCCTTAGGATAATTTGTTCTAAATTTGGAATTAAAATATTCTCGCTTTTCATTTTTAATTGCAATCTTAGTGTAATTTCTTAGTTATAACAGTTTCAATGTGCATCCGATTTAGATTTTGTGAATCTTGATTTAGCCTTATTTCTAAGAGAGATTAATAATTGAATGTTATCAGTCATCTATGGCTTACGTTGCCTTAGTCAATCAATCATTGAAATAACAAACCTTGCGCTCTACATTCTACATTCTCAATATAAAACAAATTATACAGTGGTAAACTATTTAAGTCATTAGTAAACTGTTCAACATTAAACCCACTAAAATCACGATAAGTAACATAAAATGGCAATCTCTTCAAATCTGACTTTAATTCACAAAAAACTAGTTCATATACTACATATATTTCCAAATTACCTGACCTAAGCACAATTGAACTATTTGAAGTTAATATTAAGTCTAGAAGTGTCTTGGAATCTTTCGTGTTTCGAGATAATCTGCACTAACCTTGAGTTAAAATTTATTACAGCCGGGCTGTCAACAGAAAGCAAATCTATTTAAATCGACTAAAATAAAAATGTTCTCACACTCGGGAACACAATGACTTACTTAGATTACTTAGATTTCTCTAAACTAGATAGAAAAAATTTATAATTTCCCTTTGAGGCCTATAAACTACACCATATAAGTTAGTACTATTTTGTGTCTTAACTGAAATCCACAACTGTTCAATGTCATTACATAGTTCTACTACTTTATAATTCAATCTATTTGATACATAAAAACATACACCTCCAGCTCTGCCAACACGATCTCTCCTAACAATATTATAATTTTCAATATTGACTATCAAGTCACTAATACATGAGGACAACCAAGTTTCAGAAATTGCCAAAATATTATAAATTTTATCTAATAAAAAATCTCGTAGTTTATTTATTTTCGGTATAAGAGATTGCACATTGATGTGCCCTATAGTTATATTATTTTTAATCATTATTATGTAACTAATTTATTTTGCAAAATATTTAATCAATCTATATACTATAGATAAAATTATAATACAATCAGAAAAAGAAAAAAAAAATCAGATTATCTTATCAAATTGAATCCTCGACAAAAAAAAAGTAAAACAAAGAAAAAAGATATATCATTATATTAGTTAGCCAAAGGAATAATAATTCCAATATTTTACATCATTACAGGTGAGTTCACAGCAATCGATAAAATTTAGTAAACAATAATTGCTTGACAATATCCAGCTCCATCAAATAAGTAAAATGTATTTTATTATTTACTTTGCATAGAATTTTATCTTCACACCAAACACTTTTTGGGCCAAATTTCTCACATGCTTTTTTGTAGACAGCAAACCTTTTTTTAGTTAAGTCTTCTTTAATTACTATAGTACTACCCCTTTGATGACTTTTTCGTTTTACAATTTTTTGTTTGACCTGGTTTATACAAAATCTCACCATTAAAAGCCTATTTTTGCCTTCTTTACTACTAAGTCTATAACAGAATTCTATATCACTTTCATTAATTTCAGTATTGAGTTTCTGCTGAAACAGAATTGTCATCTTAAGATTTAGATTTTCACCGTTCTCCTCTGGTTGACTATAAATTCTTAAATTGTTATGTCGTTAGAACTGTTCCTGATTATCAATACACTTAGCAACATCCATAATCTTTGGCTCACGTTGTTCAACCTTTTCACTGCATACCTTGATGGTGGTATCTGATCCCAATATCTTCTCAAGGACCCTTTGACTCAGTTTTTCCTCATCATCAATAGTTTTAGCACTTCTCGTTTTAGGGGCATTTGCCATCATGAATAATAAATCCAAGTGATTACTTTGAATATTTACTTGTTTAGTTGGAACCACACCAGAACACTGCTCGACTACACATCGACATCACTCATCTCACTCTCTCACTCATCTTCATTAGTTTCCATTTTTACAGAGTTTTCAGCAAACTGAACCAAAACAATCACAAATGAATTCAATTCCCAATATGGTGACTAATGTTTGACAAAGTATTCATCCTACTTACCTACTTTGCTTTATTATCCAAATTTGGTTTGAATAGTACGCGAAGCGCAAATGGCTCCATATAGCCCGCAGAGTAGTTGTTTCTCGCAACACTGGCAATTGGTTTGAATAATTTCAAAACACAAATTAATACTTAAATGGGAGATTTCGGTTGGAGAAAAAGTAGCATGTTTTATTCGGATTAAAAATCTTTTTCGTCTCGCAGTTTTGCATCCGCTCGGCTGCGGTATGCTTCGCTCCGCAAATATATTTGCTCGCCACCAAAGTAACACTTTTAATCCTAATATAATAATATACTGTTCTAAATCTACGTCTGTATTCGGTGTTAAATTGACGCTGACATCAATCATTATTTTTATTGAATTTGGAATTAACAACTGAAATTTTAATTTGTTGTTTTAAGCTGGATTCACAGAACATAAAACTTTAGCCGTATGCTATAACCACAAGACGTATTCGGAATAAAATATAGGGAAATGCATATGACCATTCATAGATACCGTAACATATCTGTATAGGCCAGGAAATATAGATTTGGACGCGACTTTTTGTTTCGGCAAGCTGAATTTATCACTATAGATGCTAACACTACAACAACATATTAGTTTCCAAAGTCATAAAAATGGGGGACGATTGTTTACAGGGTGGTTAATCGGATTTTTTTTACGTAAATTCAAGTTTTTCGCTTATAACTTTTTTCCGTCCATTTCCACGAGAAAACAGTAAAGTACTTTTTTTTTCGTCTTCAAAAGACCTACAAAACTAGCCAAAATTTAACAAAACAATCATACACTGGGACACACATATGGATGTATACCAGTTTGTATCACATTACTTTGCCAAGGAACTTGTCCTATGTCCGATACTGAAAAATCTTTCAAGTTATTTCTCAGTCTCTATAATTACAGACAAAATAGCTATCGCCACAGACCGCTACTAGAATAGACCAGCAGTTTTAAATTTCAGAATTGCCGGTAGAGTACACCACCAGCAGAATTTTAGGAAGAATCAAATACAGCGGCCCGCATACCTAAGCGTATCCTAGCAACATATAAACAAGACTTTGGTAATGTTGCCAGGCGTACTTACGGATTTCTTTTGTACACTTTTTTATCAATATCTGTTTTTTGCGTTACTGTATTTACTTCAATGTATGATGTAGGTATTGATAAAAATGTTTTTAAAGAATCAACGAATATCTATGTATGTATCATATGATATTCTGCAGTGGTGTTACAATTAAGTTATTTAATCATAATTTCGTTAATTAGCTACCTACTATTTTCATTTTTTGGTATTGAAATACTGCAGAAAATATATTTCCAAATAAACAAAATTCGTAATAATATTTTAAACAGCTTGTAATATAATTTTTTTAATATTTGATGATGACGATAAATTTATTTAATATACAAGGTGGGTTATTAGTACGTCGCGGAATGTAGGTACAGGTTTTTTTTTGTATTTTGACATCCACTTATAGGTTTAATAATTAAAGATAGAAAGAAACTTTAAATACAAATGTACGACTTTTCCTTTATTTCATTTGACATCAAAATTTACTGGCATAAAATATATATGTTTAAAATAAAAAAAATCATTAAAAAAAATTAAAATTCATCCTTATGAAAATAACAAACAACGCTTTTTATAACTAACCTTTACAACAACATAAGGAGAATAACTAAAAACGAAATAACATTAATATACCTACAATTTTTACAAATCAACATGCAAGTGATTGTGATGATACAGTTGAAAATATGTTTCAATTTACTATTAATTGCTTCAAAAACAAATTCAAAATTATCAAGCATTTCGTCCTGTATTTTTCTTTCAATATTTGTAAACTTTCAGGGAAAAAAAAATATGTCTAAAGGACTGACAATGAGATCGGGGCTGTTTTCTGGCCACCTAAGGTTTCTAATAATATTTTTTAGTGTTCGTTGACGGGATTCTTCCTCCAAAATAAATTTGCCAATATTCCTGAAGAACTTTTGCACATTATTGTTATTTGAATAATACAGTTAATTATGTTTTATTTTTCGTCATCAGAATAACCCATTGTAATTTTTTTAATTTTTTAAATTAAAATGGGTTATTCTAATAATGATAAATCCCATGTATTTTTAAAAGAAGGTTCGTTTCTGTCGTTTTTGTCTGATTGTGTGCGAGAGAGATAGAGTTATAGTGTGCGATAGAGATAGAGTGACTCTGTCCTCGTAGAAAGCTTCTATCTCTCTCTCTCTCTCTCTGCTGTCTTCAGGAGTC